GTTGATTCTAGGAACTTGAATTGCGAGAAGAGACAAGACGTTGGGAAATGAGTGACAAACGGTTACTCACCAGTGACTCACGGCCTACCCGTACCCGTACCCGGGTATCGGGTAGGGTACGGGTATCGGGTACCCGGTTGCGACCTCTGGGTCTCAGCCACGGCCGACGAGAAACTCGACTCGGACGCCAGGCGGCGCGCGACGCTCGGAGAGAGAAAACTGCGTCGTGGCGACCCCCGGCAGCCTGGACAAGACGGCGCTTTCGAAGGGGATAACTGCAAGGTGCGCGCGGTGGAGATGACGGAGCACGAGTGGGCAGGAGGGGGGGTCAAGGGGGTGGCAGGGCTCACGGTTCGTGTCGTCGCTGAGGCCCTTGGACGTCCAGCAGACGTCTGAGACATCCCATCTCAAGGCGACTTTCCAAGTGATTTTGATACGCCTACTGATGCTCCTGCTGTTATGGAGTGACTCGTGCTGCCAGCTATGGCTGCAAAGTTTGGTCGTACGCGTTGTGTGTATATCGTTTATTGTTAAATTTGAATCACAGTTCCTACGATCACTGTTAGATTGTTTTTATAGCTTTATTTTGGTGATTTCCAAAACGTTTTGGTTTAGCCATATTTGTTTCTTGTAGTACAGAATTGGACTGATAACTTTAATATAAATTGTCTTATAGTTGTTATTGTTTGACTTGCATCCCACTGGGATTTCTGCACACAACGTTGATATACGGTGCTTTTTCTGGAAGACTTTTCTGTAATTTCCTTGAATATGTTCCTTGTTCATGTTCTTGTTTGTTGCAGTTGCACCCGAGTCAAGAGCCGCATGGCTCACAGGGCTACACCAAATAAATGAAACTGAAAACTAAAAGGTGAGATATTTCAACTTAACAGAAACAAAAAATAAATAACCAAAAATTCTCAGCTCGTGAGAAGAAGACTCGCTTTTAATTAGGTCGGAGTCGAGATGCTTCTGCGAATTGGCCGCTGCGCGATACAGCCGGGAGGGGTGACGCGGCCAGACACGCGCTAAGCTCGCAGCTTCATTGTTGAGATAGAGAGAGACAGAAAAAATCAAATGGGGCGTAGCATCAGCGGGAATGATGAAGGACTTCAAGGAATGCAGAGCCACCAGGAATGAAGGAGCACCAGGAAAAGAGCCTGACCACCAGGATTGATGGACCTCCAGTTCTGAAGGACCACCAGAAATGAAGAGCCACCAGGAATGAAGGACCTCCAGTTCTGAAGGACCACCAGAAATGAAGGACCTCTAGTTCTGAAGGATCTCCAGTTTTGAAGGACCTCCAGTTCTGAAGGACCACCAGAAATGAAGGACCTCCAATTCTGAAGAACCTCCAGGAATTAAGGACCTCCAGTTCTGAAGAATCTCCAGTTTTGAAGGACCTCCAGTTCTGAAGGACCACCAGAAATGAAGGATCTCCAATTCTGAAGAACCTCCAGGAATTAAGGACCTCCAGTTCTGAAAGACCTCCAGTTCTGAAGGACCTCCAGTTCTGAAGGACCTCCAGTTCTGAAGGACCTCGTTCTGAAGGACCTCCAGTTCAGAAGGAGCACCAGGAACGAAAGAGGCACCGGGAATTAAGGACATCTTGTAAACACGTACCACCAGGAAGAGTTCTTGGAAAACGAAGAACTTTTCAAGGTTGAAGGATCCACCGGGAAAGGCGAAGGACCAAGCAAGGAAGGCGATGGATCTTCTGGAGGATCGAGGGGCCATCCAATCGGAAAGTTGACGGACTCTCCCAGACCGACGCTGGGCCCTCTAGGCAAAGTGAAGGATCACCGTGTGGGTCGAGCGAAGGCCCGGCAGGTGAACGCAAGGCTTGCCACGGGCACTCGTGACCTAAGTGGAGACCTCCCTCCTATCGTACGGGGTTGGGGTTGGGGGGAGGGGGTCACCGCGTGGGCTGGGTTGAGGAGGTCACGGTCAAGGTCACGTGGTTGTACGGAGGGCGAGAGAGATAGAGAGAGGGAGAGAGGGGAGATGGGGGGTGTGGGAGTTGAGTGATGATTTGTTTTTATTTTCACCTCTTAACTTCTCCATTAATTAATTAGTTAGCGGCGCGACAGGGTTCGGATCGGTCACACACTCGTGTCGTATGCGTTGACAGCTCACGGGACTCTCTCACTTCTCCGCAGCAACCACAGCGTCGCATGACCAGATCGAGGCAAACTCTACAAATCCCGGTCCGCACTTTTAGCGATTTTGCAGCGCGATAGCAACTGGCTTTGACAGCAGCTATAGCAGCAGCAGCAGCAGCTCGGATAAGTTCGACACCGCGCCCGTGTCGTGTGTGACTCAGCGTGGCGCGTATCAATCAGCGACGTGAAGTTAGCCTCACTCGCTCGTTCATGCATTGCAGCCGCAAAGGTCCGGTAAATCGGCGTCTGCAGCGGGGGTTACTTTGACACGCCACGTCCATCTCGTCTTGTTTACTGTGAATCTGTTCCGAGGGGGGTCATAGAAATATCTGGAACAATGGCATTACTATGACGGGCAGACCCACCATGTACTCTCGTGGTAGTGCCTTACGCCGGTGTGTCGGGGTCAATGTCTGAGTCTGGACCGGCTCTGAAATCGCTTCGCGAGACCAGGGATTTATAATTACAACAGCACCAACAGTCACAGCAGCAATAGCAGCATGCACGAGCCATTGCCACGTGACCGTACAGCAAGCACAGCGCGCATCACGTGTCCGTACAGCAAGCACAACCTGTGTCACGTGTTCGTACATCAAGCACACGTGTCACGTGTCCGTACATCAAGCACACATGTGTCACGTGTCCGTACATCAAGCACACATGTGTCACGTGTCCGTACATCATGCACAACCTGTGTCACGTGTCCGACGTCATTGAGCAGAGCAGCGGGTCACTCCCTCCCCACATCACTACCTCCTCCCCAAAAACCACCACCCACTCTGCTACCCCCGGTATAAAGGGAAGGGACCCCCCTTCCATTACCCACACCACCCCTCGAGTGAAAGGTGTTCCCTGCACACGGGCGCACCCGTTCACTTCGTGACGAGTCTGTGGTGTCGATGCGCGTTCGTCTAATGTCACGCGTAACCTCCCCGCCTCCCAGCCTCCCTCCCCCAACAGAATTGTAAGGGCTAATTGCTGGCGAATCGCCACGTCGCTCGAACTGTCGGGGGTTTTACTCTGCAACGCAGCGGTGCGCTGCACCTCGTAACGCGTTGCTACGTTGTGTTCACGCCACGGACGTTTACTCATCGGCTGTGCCGTTTTAGGCGGCGGGTTTTTCACGACGCATTAAATGTTCAACGCGATCTCACCGAAACAACAGAAATTCTCTATTGCGGATAATATCGGTCGCGAAAAAAGTCCTAATACTACGTGTTAATCCAATTAATCTCAGCCGAGCAAAGCTGTAAGGCTGTCACGGAGGAACGCCGAGCGTGTCCACGGGTTTTCACCATCGCTGGAGCTCATCAGCGAGCAAAGCCTCATTCTACAGCCTGCCAAGGTGGGAGCGAGGGAGGCGCGAGACGCAGAGAAAGCCACGCTGCCTTTTTTTTAGTGTGTGAAGGGAATTTACAGAGCGGACTTGCGCGGCTACTATTCCGTGGAGTTTGTCGTCTATTGGTCTGGAGGCAGCGGACAAGGCGTCCAGAGTTCGTAGCCACGGGGCGGCCGTCTCTCAAGCTTTCGTCCCACTGAACTCTCTCCCCAAAGACCCCCCCACCTCACCCGACCGTCACTACCCTCCCACCTCTCTCCACGCCGCCAAATCTCTCCGCATTGAGCGACATCCTCTTGTGCGCGTGTGTCCGTCTCTCTGCCCGCGTCTCTGCCTCTCTGTCTGCGTGTCTGTGTGTCGGCGTGTCTGTTTCTCTGCCCGCGCGTCTGCCTCTCTGTCCGCGTGTCTGTGTGTCGGCGTGTCTGCCGCTCTGTTTGTGTGTCTGCCTCTCTGTCTGCGTGTCTGTGTGTCGGCGTGGCTGTTTCTCTGTCTGCGCGTCTGCCTCTCTGTCTGCGCGTCTGTGTGTCTGCGTGTCTGTTTCTCTGTCTGCGTGTCTGCCTCTCTGTCTGTGTGTCGGCGTGTCTGTTTCTCTGCCCGCGCGTCTGCCTCTCTGTCCGCGTGTCTGTGTGTCGGCGTGTCTGTTTCTCTGTCTGCGCGTCTGCCTCTCTGTCTGTGTGTCTGTGTGTCGGCGTGTCTGTTTCTCTGTCTGCGTGTCTGCCGCTCTGTCCGCGTGTCTGCGTGTCCGTCTCTCTGTCCGCTCGTTCGTCTCTCTGTCCGCGCGTCCGCTCGCAAGTCTCTCTTGGCGTGGCGCTGTCATTCCGCGCGTCCGTCTGTCGCCACGCGCGATTGATGTTTCGTTCGGCCCGCGTGGTGAGCGGCACAACAAAAACATTGCTCGTCGTCGTCGCAATCGTAACGTGGATCTGCGCGTTGCGTGAGTTTCTAACTCTCCTCGCCGCTCGTGCCGGCAAGCCCCTCCACACTGACTGTTCGTCGTTTCGTCAAAGAACACCCGGGTCCCAACGTGCACCCTCTGCCTACGCGTCCTGCCACCAGCCCGGGCACACGTCCTGCCGCCCTCCCGTGTCCATCCTCTTATTCGCTCGGCAAATTTGCCTCCTCGGTCAGTTTATCCCTCGGCTCGTGTGTAGCTCATCATCGTTTTGTCCGTCTGCCCATCGGTCTGTCGGTCATTTTGTGCATCCCTTGCGTCCATCGTGCCGTGCCCCCGCTCTCCCCGTCCATCCAATCCATTCGCCCGTCTGCCCATCGTTCCGTCTCTTTCGTCTGCGAGTCTCTGCGTCCGTCCGCCCGTCCTCTCTCTCCCACCGCCACAACCTCCTCCGCGTCAATCTTTCAGCCCTTCTTTCTCGCCCCCCACCCCATATTCCTCCCTCCCATCCTAAGAACCGGACCCCCCCTCCTCCACCTCCCCTCTACCTGCACTACCACCCCCACCCCCGCCCCCACCGCCGCCTCTCCAACCCAACCCTCGGTACCTTCACGGTGGAGAAATCGATCTTGGCCGGGGGTGGTGGAGGCGCGGGCTCTGGGGCCGGTGCCGGAGCAGCGGCGGCGGCGGGTGCCGCTGCCTTTGCCGCGGGTTTTGCCGGCTCGGGCTTTTTCACGTCCTTCTTGGGTGCCATGGCCTCTGGTGCTTCTCACAAAATCAACTCTTGCGACACGTTCGAGCGAGACGCGGACACGGCGATGAGGGCGGGGTGGGGGGGAAGTGTCCACGGAGGGAGGGACGAAGGCGCGGCAGCAGCAGCAACAGCACGAACCAACCGAAGCTACCCTGGGCCTTTGCGAGCCGCTCACCTGCGTTTTATAGGTTCGACCAGGGAGGCGCCGGAAATCTCGCGTCTCTATTGGACGGCGCTTTCCAAGGGGATCATAATGTTGGGCTAAATATGGCGAGGACTTGGGGGGGGGGGGTGGGGGGGGTCGGGGGGGGGTCTGGTGGTGGTGATGGGAGGGGGATGTGCTGCGGTGGATGGTGCTGGATGTGTGGGGAGGGGAGTCGCTCGCGCGTGCGGGGTGTGGTGGAGCTCATTGAGTGTGCTCGTGGTGCCAGTGTGTCTGTGTGTGTCTATGTGTGTCTGTGTGTGTGTCTATGTGTGTGTCTGTGTGTGCGTGTGTCTGTGTGAGAGACAAGAAGTTCAACGTATATTGGAGCTCCGCGGTTGACATCTCCGGCGGAGATTCCCAGCGTCAATATTCGGATCCTATCACGAGACGCGGACATCCACCGCGGTTCGCGAGTGACCGCTTCGTTGCGCCGATGAAGTTTCCGAGTGTTTGTTCGCGCGCGCCCTGTGCGCTCGCACGGAGCCACGAGGTCGGGGGAAGCAAGAGAGAGAGAGGGAGCAGGGGGAAGCAGGGGGTAGCAGGGAGGGGGAGCAGGGAGGGGGAGCAGGAAGGGGGAGCAGGGAGGGGGAGCAGGGACGGCACCTGGTGCCAACGCGTAGCGAGCGAATGAGATCAGCCCCATCGCAGAGCCTCCAGAAATAACCTCGGAACGAGCCCCCGCTGGGCACCCCCCCCCCTTCCCCAGACCTCGTGCCCCGCAGACCCCGAGCAACCGTCCCCAGAGACTCCATTCTCTCCGGACCCCTTTGCACGGTCCCCTGTCCCCTCACTGCGCACTTGAGAGCGCCCGCGGTTCCTGATGTCGATGTCTGCGTAACGAGAGAGTCAACTCGAGCGGGTTGCCGCTCGCCTGCCTCGTTCTCTCCACCTCCTCCTCTCTGTCCCACTCTATCCGACTCTGTCCCAGTCCCACTCTATCCCACTCTCCTATCTCCGCGCCTCTCTGCTGATCTTCTCCCGTCTCTTCTCAGCTCCTGTCCACGCTCATCTTCGCTCCTTCGCGTGCCTCCTCCTCTGTCCCCTCTCCTCCTCCTCCTCCCCCCCGTGTCTCCTCTCCTCCCCCTGTTATCGCCTCCCTACCTCGCGTCTCCTTCTCTCTCTCCTCGTATCCTCACCTCACTTAGTCACTCCTTTCTCCACTCTCGTCACCTTTATTATCTCTCCTGCCCTCTCCCCTTTGCCTCCCTCCTTCTCTGTCCTTACCCTCTCGTTGTCTCTCCTAGTTGCGTTGCCTCGCCTTCCTCTCCTCGCTTCTCTCCTTTTTTACGATCAGAGGAAACAAGAAGATGCTCGGTGTAGTCGGCACTTTGCTTCGTTCATCATTTCGTTGTTTTCTCCAATGCTTTGCTTTATGTGCCCCCCCCCTTCCTTTGTAAATGAAAGATTTCACGAAAGATTTTAAGCTCTGCTTTCCTCCTTCTTACTCCTTCCCTCTCTCTGTACCCCCTCTCTCTACCCCCCCTCTCTCTGTACCCCCTATCCCTCCTCTATGTCTATGTTCCCCCTGTTTTCTATGTAATTTCCTCTCTCCTCCACGTATCTCTTAACTGCCGAACGCGACCGTTGTCCTTCACATCATTGTTTGACGATGCACTTGGAAGGTCCCATGCGACGGGACGTTTCGTTTTGCAAGGGGGGTAGTGGGGCTGTCTGCGGACACGCAGCGAACGCGCAACGCATCGTAAATCCGTGGACCTCCGCAGGTGGCGTTTGAGTGGCCAAACGCTCACTCGATATTTGAACGGAACGCTGCTATCGGAGGCAGGCTTGGATTATACAGATTATATCGGCTTAAGGCACTGCCACTAGGTTACAAGGGACGTCATTCCATAATATGCACAACAACAACAGCCGTCATTCGCCACTAAGCGGTGGTGATGTCGCCACGGCGGTTGTGCTAGACTCTGTGCACCGTGCAGTGTCGGATGCTCCCTGGCAGAGGGTCACGGGTGGTGCCATGGGTTGACTGCATGGCACGACTGGCAGACGCACCGCCTGTGCTCCCCACTGCGCCAACTCGCTGCGTTTTAGCCGCCCGGCGCTCCGCTCTCTGTTGTGAGCGTCGCTCCTCTGCCCTCCGTTATTGCTGGATGGCGACTGTCTCCGACTGCCCAGTAGCGTCCTTCACGAGCCTCCTCCACCGAGGCCGATTTAGACACCGCTGGTTCGTTAAGGGAACAATTCCTGTTTTTTTGACTATGGGTTTCGATTTTCAAAACGGTTACCGACGATGAGTCAATGATTCGAGATTACACTGACTGCATGCGTAGGGTACATAACCACGCCGTGATTGATTGATGATGATGATGATGATGATGACGAAGAATACACAATCTTATTATTCAAACGTCTGCGGTTTCATCAGACCCCTGGGAAAACAATTCGCGTTCAGCGAGTTTCATTTCAGCGCACGTGATTGCCCATTCAGTCCGCTATCATCGCTTACAATTGAATGCGTCCGACATTGAATAGACAAAGCGTGTTAACAGCAGCCTCTGACATAGAACGGGAGCAACAGCAAAGGAATGGAATGCGTTTGAGAGCGCGTACTTTGAGGAGATGGAGCGATGCAATTAGTTCATTGTGCAGGTGCCGGTTGGAAAATTGCATCACTGTCAGCGAGCACCTATTAAGGCATTCAAGTCGCAGCACAATACCACACGTTTGCACAGCGCGCCAAGTATTGTACTCATTTTAGGCTGAACCGACCTAAGAGAGGTACAGGACCGGTCCAGGTGTCACTAGCCCACTGATATTCGTCGTGGAACTTGGCTTGTCGGGAATTCATCTCTCGGTGCGCTAACCGCTGCGCCACCGCTCCCCACGTGTCTTGGTCAGGGCGAGGAATCCGTAAATCCAGTCACGATGACATCAATGCCGCGGCGGACCCTTCCAGGAACGTTGGTGGCATGTCCAGGGATGTGGGTGGTGGATGAGAGACGGGGGAGGTGGGTGCGAGATGGGAGATGGGATGTGGGTGCGAGATGGGAGGTGGGAGATGGGTGGGAGATCGGCGGGAGGTCAGAGGGAGATGGGTGGAAGATGCGAAGTATGTGGGAGATGTGAAATTAGAAGTGGGTGGGAGGTGGGAGATTTGACGTGGGTGGGGGGTATGAGATGGGAGGTGGGTGGGAGATGGTGGGAGGTGTGAGATGGGCAGTGGGTGGGAGTTCAGTGGGAGATGGGTGTGAGATGGGCAGTGGGTGGGAGGTTCGTGGGAGGTGGGAGATTTGACGTGGGTGGGGGGTATGAGATGGGAGGTGGGTGGGAGATGGTGGGAGGTGTGAGATGGGCAGTGGGTGGGAGTTCAGTGGGAGATGGGTGTGAGATGGGCAGTGGGTGCGAGGTTCGTGGGAGGTGGGAGCCTTGACAAGGTGGGAGACGGAGCAAAGTTGTAGGACTTAGAAGCAGGCGCGGCTACCGTGGGTGTCGTGTGAAGATGCGTCTAATAAGACTCCTCCAACAAATGTTTTTTTTGATACTTTGGATAAAAAACTGCGCACAAGCAACATACATTTCTCTGCTACCACCCAGGACCACCTCAAGGTATCAATCAGTCCATCAGACCATGGGCTTTCCAGAACAATATCACGCAGCCGCGTTTGTGGGTCATCGATCGGGTCTCGGTCAGCCGATGCATGCTTATGAAACAAATGATGTTGCTGCTGCTGCTGCTGCATTACCCAAATGTTCCATTGGCAAGAGCACTCCATACTATTTGGTTCTTTCGGTAAAGTCACGCAGGTAGAAAAAAAAATAAAAGATCTCGACGTTTCGATCGCAACACAAGCAAACGTCATCAGGTGCGAAACAAACACAGCAGGAAGACTGCTGACGTAGGAGAAAGAGCTGCTGCACCGCGTCTGCGTCTCGCTATTTGCGAGTCCGCGTGGTTTCTACATTCGACGAGGCGACACAAGCGCTGCTGCTGATGATGCTGCTGATGCTGATGATGACGCAACCTTTAAATACCGCACGCATAAGGCTTCGTGGCAGAGTCAGCAGTCGGTATCTGAGCGCAACTGATACACTGCGTGTCTTATTCTTAGGTTTTTTCGGTAAAGTCACGTAGGTACATTTTTTTTTACAATTAATAAAAGTTCAATAAAAATAAAATAAAAATCACGACGTTTCGGAGGCAACACAAGCTTTCGTCTGAGCGCAGACGTGAAGGCCCAACGCGCCAAAGCGGCCAGCAACAAAAGAGCACTATCAAAGTCGTAGCAAGAGAATGGAGCAAGTTTATTGTTGTTGAGAACTTGGTGGTGGAGGGAGGAGGGGGGGTGGGGAAGAGACGTCGGGAGGGAATTCCACCGTGGTGCAGCGTGAGCGAAGAAGCGGAGAGAGTGGTGGGTGAGTCGATGGGTGAGTGAGCGAGCGAGTGAGCGAGTAGGCGGTTGAGTGAGTTTGTGAGTCGCGTCACCTGTGGTGTAGTGGTCGAACACAGCGTGGGTCAGTCTACCCAGCAACCACAGGCAACCCATGCGTTCCTCTTTTCAAGTGAATTTCGTCGCCAAAAAATTACGAAAGTTGACGGCCGAGTGATTTTCTGTTCAATGGACATCGAGGCGGTTCATACTCTTAGTTCTTTCGGTAAAGTCACGTAGGTAAAAAATGAAATTAAAATTAATAAAATAAAAATCACGACGTTTCGGAGGCAACACAAGTCTCCGTCATCAGGTGGGACCGTCACAGCCAGATTTGCTGCATCACTTGATGCTGCTGATGATGCTGATGCTGCTGATGACGCAACCTTTAAATACTTGATGCAGCAAATCTGGCCGTGACGGTCCCACCTGATGACGGAGACTTGTGTTGCCTCCGAAACGTCGTGATTTTTATTTTTTTATTTTTTTATTAATTTCAATTGAATTTTTTACCTACG